ACCCTTTCCTGTCCCATGGTTTGCAGAAGAAAGTGGGTTCGTCTTCCAGCTAGATTAAGCCTGTGCATAAGATTCTCCGAGCAGAAGGTGGCTGTACTGCCGGGATCGAGAAAAGCATATGTTTCTATTATCTGATCTCCTTTGCTGGATTTAACTTGGACTGGTAGGATTGAGAGAAGACAACGATCCTTACTGGCCCCTGTATGACCACATGTTTTATGAGATGTGATGCCGTAATCTGAGTCTTGCTCCTTTGACTGTTCTGTGTCTGTGTGAGGTCTCTCTATCTTAGAGAACCACCCTCTATCACCAAATAGAGGGTCCGATAAGATCCTGACATGTTTTTCAATGAATGCAACCAAATCTTTGAACAGAGCTCTGTGATGTGATGTTTCCGATATATCATGTGCTACGCTTCTCCAGCGCTCTCTCAGCTTAAACGGCAATTTCGACATGACTGCTCTCATGTTGCTTGACATGTCTAATTCTCTCAAGTACTGCAGCTTCTCCATTACGTTACAGCATTAACGCAGAAAAAGAGAGTAGGTTTGCAAAGCATTCACATCTTCAGCTCTTATTACTGACTGGCCTCCTGAGGCCGCCTTATGTTTGCTGCTGGGTTACTTGCAGGCAGTGACCAATCCGTCCTTTGCTGTTTGCTCTGATTTGCAGGTTTGTATTCTTTGCCATTACATTGAGTTTGTTAGATGTTCCTTTTTTCCTCATGTCCTTTTCAAGGTAGGAATTCATTGCATTAGATGATGTTTTGGGAAGACTTTGAATGTCAGAGGCCCGTAGAACTGTTAATTTCGCAGTAGATGCAGCTAGCTTAGCTTGCAACTCAAGCTGTTCTCTCCTCCTTTTTAGCTGTTGCTCTTGTTCCTCCAGAGTGTGCATTTCCTTTAAAGCTTCCACATGAGCCAACAGTGCAGCTCGATCAGCCTCGGCTTTAATTCTTGCAGAGGAAGCTGTGCTTGACTTTCCACTGGATGAGCTTTTTCTGCTTGAGTATTTGCAAGAAACATTTGAAACACTGTCCTCGGGATTGACATCATCATCATCATCACCAGTATCCAGTTCATGATCACCTTTGCATGCATTTTGTTCAGAAGATACCACCTGTAGGAGCCATAAATGTAAGTTGATTGTGTATTTGGTGTCATGGGTTGTTTACTGATTTGTTTATTGTTTACGGTCTGCTTGTTCCTGGTGGTGGGTGTGTTCACCGGAAATCTCGTGGTGATGGCAGTGATTATATGAGCCGCACTCACCTGTTCACCTGGTTTTTGGCTTGGATGGAGAGAGGGGGTGAGCGTGGGAAGAGACAGTTTCTGTTGACCGCCACACTACACTGCACTGCGATCGCAAGTTGATTTGATGACCCGATAACTGCGTTTGTAGTATCTTGTTTTGTTTTTGGAAGAATAAATGACTAAAGCATCTTGGATCTGGAAGTCATTTATAACGACAGCGCGTCACAGCTTCACTCCCGTGTTTAGTCCCTCACAGCAAACTTTTTTATACCACCCACCTTTTGATGTGAGCAATACATTCATCATTAAACATCATTTTTGCTTTAAACCAGGTTTCATGCCTTTCCTTTTCATCAGCAGGTAACACACACAACACCGACCCATGAATACCTTTTACTTCATCACACAAATTGACAAGCTCATTATAAACACGTTGCACCTCTGATTTGTTATCATCTTTTTGCACATTTGCTCTTAATTTTCTAGCCTTGTTTAGCTCAGCTTTTCTTTCCCTTTGCAACATTTCCAACCTTTCAGCAAAGGCCTTAGGAGTTAACTTTACAGCATGTTTTTGTTTTTTAACACCTGAAGTGTTCGTTTCCACTGATTGCGCAATAGCCTCAGCGGGGCTGTCAACGTCATTAACGCGCGTATCCATTGTTCACAGTCAGCTCGCAACACGCAAACAAAGTCAATCGTCCTGTGGCTTCGACCACCAATGCATTGGAACCTTTACAGGTTTGTAGCGATCGCTGTGCACACAAAATATGAATGGCCATTCATTAGTAGCGCTACACGTAGCCTACCTCACGTTGGGCGCCTGGATGATCCCGATGCAAACTCCTCTGCATGAAGATCAGCTCCTGAAATCCTCCCACAGGCACAGTCACTCGAACCGAGAGAAGCGATCTGCTTATCGGCCCCGAACCTCAGCAGGCAATGGTGTTGTAGCCGGCGTCCTCTCGCCGAAAGATGGATGCTGCGGCCGGCTGGCTCCGGTGTTTACACCCGGCTTGTAGTTTCCGATTTCCAGCGTCCTGTCAGCTGGAAACGACGAGCAATGATCCACTTGATTTCCGTCGTGGTGAAGCTCTTCAAGCGTCATTAACAACTTTTTTGACTTGAATATAGCGGCTAAGCCTAAACTTAAAGCCACTGAGGATCTACATAGACGGACTAATCTAGTTTATTAATTGAGCCGCTTGCCGGCTTTGCTCCTGAGCATAAGCATTCGAAAATAAGACAGTCCAATATCTTCTTCGTTTAGGAATATTTATTTCCTCGTTCCATCAATGTCTTGATTACTGTCGCATGTGAACTGTTCAAACAATAATCCACACCTGTCCATTTACAATCACTCCTGTTACCTCAGCGTGGCGTACAGCGGTCAAAAAAGTGTATTTGCTCCCCGTCTAACAACACCTGACACCCCAGTGATAGTTCCTACTTATATAGAGTTTCACCTTAACCCAAAGGCGACACCTGCTGGAACAATTTGTGTTCGCACTTCGCAAACATGGCTCCTCCAGATTGTATGAACTGGACCGTACTGATGTTCAGGTTCCATCCCAGATTCTACATGTGAATTATAAATCTAGATTAAATGAGATGAATGAAACTTGAACAGTGTTTGTACGCCATGATTCACTCATCAGGCTGAAAAGTTCAGTCCATTCATTGATGAGATGATCCACAGAAAATGAAGGGACAATCATTTTGATCATGGACTCATTATTTCAGTCTCTTGAATCCAAAAGGTCCAAAATGTTTTTTCCAGTTTGTCAAATATGACAATTAGCTGCTTTGATCAGTTTGATATGATTGTAAATGAAACAGCGTTCAGTGTTATTCTGGAGCTGTTTGAAAAGTTCACCTTATTCTTTGTTGACGTTTCAAAAGAAGTGGTTGGTTCATGAATCAATCCAAATAATGTGATCATGAATCTTTATTCTGAGCTCTTCATAAAAAGTCCAAGTACACATTAGATGAGATGATCTCCACTGTTCTGACCTCAGTGTTGGCTCGTCCTCTCAGGCAGCATCAAACAAACATCTGCAGCTGGAAACAGCTGTTGTTAGTGTTGAATGATTGACAGATGGATGAAGCAATCAGGACGCACAGACTGTCTCCCAGTCTCCATACTGGTCCTGGTGGTCTCTGCCTTATTGTGAGCAGCTGTAGTAACACACTGCTGAACTCTGTGAGGGCCGAGCAGGAGGAGTCTACAGACTGATCCTGGACTGAGACTCTCCTTCAGAGGAAACTTGGAGAACAGCTCGGGACAGTCGAGTGTGTGGTTTCTCACAGGACGAGCGAAATGTTGGACTGATCCACAGAGAGTCCACGTTCAGTCCAGGACCAGTTTAATCTGAGTCTGCTAGTCAGGACTACAACTCAGAGAGAGAGAGAGACTCAGTGTGTCTCTGATGTAATAATAAAGGATTTAAACTATACCTCTCTCTCTCCCTCTCTCTCTCTCTCTCTCTCTCCCTCCCTCTCTCTCTCTCTCTCTCTCTGTCTCTCTCTCTCTCTCTCTGTCTCTCTCTCTCTCAGGTGTTCACATTGTCCAGGTGATGGTAGGCTGTGAGTGGGATGATGAGACTGGAGATGTTAATGGTTATGATCAGTATGGTTATGATGGAGAAGACTTCATAGCTCTGGACATGAAGACATGGACGTGGGTCGCTCCACAACAACAGGCTGTCGCCACCAAACAGAAGTGGGATAAAGACAAAGCTCGACTAGAGTATAATAAGAACTACCTCACCAAGGATTGCGTTGACTGGCTGAAGAAGTATGTGAACTATGGGAGGAGCTCTCTGATGAGAACAGGTAGGATCAAATGACCTGATGGAGTTGAATTCTGACAATGTTCATCTTCTTCTTTTCTTGTTTATCTTGTAATTGAACAATAAATATTTCACACATGTTTCTATCACACATGCTCTGTCTTCATCTTTAAGCTTCCCCTTACCTTTCCCTTCATGTTAGATCTCTTTCTCTCTGCTGCTCATCGCTCTCTCTCAAAGTTTCTCTGTGTTTTTATTGTACTTTCTCTCTCTCCTCTTCTTCTTCTTCATCAATCCATCTGAACCCCCCTCACCTCTCTTCTTCTGTTTCTTCCCCTCTGACCCTCTCTTCTTTGAATTATACTTTAATAAGGTTGATTTTCATTGTTGACTCACTGGATTTTAAAGTCCCTTTTTTTCCCAGTACATTTAAAAAGTGTCATCAAACATGAGTTGTAACAGTATTTAAGAGTAAATCCTGATAAAGAAACTCTAATCTGTCTTCCTGTTTGTCCTCCAGACCTCCCCACAGTGTCTCTCCTCCAGAAGACTCCCTCCTCTCGGGTCACCTGCCACGCTACAGGTTTCTACCCCAACAGAGCCATGATGTTCTGGAGGAAAGATGGAGAGGAGCTTCACGAGGACGTGGACAAGGGAGAGATCCTCCCCAACCACGACGGCTCCTTCCAGATCAGCGCTGACCTTCAACTGCCCTCTGATGACTGGGGGAAGTACGACTGTGTGTTTCAGCTCTCTGGTGTGAAGGAGGACATCGTCACCAAACTGGACAAACGAGAGATCAAGACCAACTACGGTAAGACCTCGATGAGAAGTGATGAAAGAGAGGATTTGACTGTAACAGTCGTGTGATGGAGGGAAAGTTTAGTTGTGACTTTTTCTTTCTTTCAAACTCAAATTGTAAAAGTATTCAGAAAAAGAGTTTAAAGGTTTGGATCAGGATGAAACAAACACAGAGATCTTTAAAGAGATTATTAATGGACAGAATCGTTTTGTTTTTTACCGTCTGTCCGCTCGTTACCACAGTGCAGCCGCATTAACCTTTAAATTACTTTAAATCAATAATATTGAGAAAAAAGGGTTTGAATGTAATCGTTAGCGGTTACCATTGTGCCACAATCAAACATGGAAATAAAAGACATAAAGGTGAAGGGAAAAAACAACTACATGTAGAAAATGAATCAAAGGTACAGTGATGAAGACGAGCTAACTGACAGAAGGAGAAACTTTGTCTTTAATGAACCTTTAACCTGTTTGATCACAGGTTGTGTGACTGTGTGATGAAAGAGAGGATTTGACTGTAACAGTTTTAAATGGATTAATGAGAGAGAGAGAGAGAGAGAGAGAGATGAATAAAGCTGCAGGGCTGGAATAGTGCAGATTTACTTCAACTCTCCAGTCCACATGTTTATTAAAGTATTCAAATGAAAGCACTCATCATTGTGTCAACATGTGTCTGATGAACACTGAAAGAGATTTGAAAAAGACACAAAAAAGGACCAAAAGATTAAAACATAATCATAAAGCTGTGCAGAAAAGGTCCAAAGTGGAGCATAAATAATGATCAGAATGCAGGAAAAGAAATGTCTGATGCTAACATTTTTCTGAGGGGAGACCCCAAGATGCAGTTTTCACTTAAAAGTTGAAAAAAAAAAAAAAAGAATCATGTGAGAGAATCGTGATCTCAGATCTCAGGGAGAAAAATCATGATTCACATGTTAGCATCTCTTTTTCATTTACAGCCACATCATTTCATTTCAGTTTCTCTTTAGATTTTATTTTTTAGTGTTTTCAGTTTTTAAATCCATCAAGAAAACGATTGAATCAAACACAGTTAGAGTGCTGTTGTTGAAGAAAAGTCAAACATGTTTATTTTGAGAGATTAAAGGCACTGTGTTGACTTCTCAAAGTTAAAGTTTTAAAGGATGAATGTGTGACATGTTACACATAAATATATCAGAAATCCAGTCTATCCTGTGTGAATGTCTCTGAGTGTGGAGGAGGCGTGGCCAAACAGCAGTTTGTTTTGGTTTGCTCAAGGGCGACATCTACTGGATCAAAAAGTCACTCATTCTTCCTTTAGTTGAAGAGAAGATCAAGTTGATGAATTACTGGATGTATAAATATATCTGTCAGTAAATCATTCACGGTGAGTTTTCTTTTCCTCGTTCAGTCAAAATGAGTTTGAATCCGTTTGTCAAAATCTCTCAGAGCGAAACATCAACATATAAAGAAATCAGCATTCAGATAAAGGACGACAACACGACTGGAAGATGAATCAAACATAGATACAGGATTTATTTACAGACAAGTGGAGATTCAAATGAAGAGCAGCAGGACAAACAGTGTTTATTTACAGGATGATGATTGTCTGCTTGGCACATGTTCTCCTCCTCTAACCTGCTTCATCTGCACAGGTTGTAACTGTGGTTTGTTGATTTGTGCTCAACAGTGAATCCCATGAACACCGTCATCGCCATCATCGCCATCATCGCTGCACTCGTTCTTCTCGGCCTCGCTGTCATTGGATACAAGAAATACAGAGGCAGAAGGAGGAAGGCTGGTGTAGACGGAGCACTGAGGAAATGCTACTTTCAAAACTCTGCCTTAAAGCTGGAAAAACGTTACCTGCTGTTTGAATTTAGCCCTGCTTTTATTTTGAAATACAGTAAGGAGCTTCCTGTAGATGGAAGGTTAGGACATGAACTAAAACACAGAAACAGGAAGTGGTTATGGATCCCAAAGTGAGGTCAAACAGCTCAAAGGAACGGTGACAAAGGTCAATGTGTGATGTCATCAGGTCAATGTGTGATGTCATCAGGTGGATATTACTGTCTGAGAGTTTGTTAAAGTGAAATGAGACATTCAAAGATGCAGCAGTGTTCTTCTTTTACATCAGTGAGACTACAGGGAGACACTGAGGACCACTATCTACGGAGAGCCTGAAGGGACAAAATAAGATGAGATTAATCGTGATGAACTCGTTAATGCTGACAGCTCTAATTATTGTTTTATTTTGATCAGAGATCCTAAACTGTTTGTGGGAGGCGTCTCAGCTATCCAGTTGAAATCTTGTATATAATTCCTGCTCGTGTTCAGGAACGAGGGATGTTTTCTCTCTGAGTTTTGTGAATGGAAGTGGAAGATGAATTCTCAGAATCACTTCCTGTGTTGGGTTAAGTTAACTAGTGGTGTTGAGCTGCTGTTTCATACCTTTGTACTGTAAATGATCTGTTCAATAAAGTCCCTCACACTCCAAATGTCTGTGTGTTTCTTCACTTCAACATTCATGGAAACACTTACACAGCTGTAGCTACCATTGTGGGAACATTTAGTTTGATTCCAATAAACTTTATGATCTTTACTTTGTTGATCTTATAGACGGATTATTCACATGTTCTGAAACGTCTGAACAAAGATATTTAAATTAGCCGCTCAGTTCAGTAACATCTACATTGTGATGATATAAAAACATTTGTTGGAGCCAGTTTGATGTGTGCTATAGTGTGTGTGCTGAGTTTGGTTATTATTGCTGCTGCTGCTACGTCACCTTTGCACCTGGGCATCATGGGTAATCAGCCACACGCAGCTAGAAAGGGGAGTGACAGGTGAACAGGTGCAGAGAATCAGGATTCAGGTGTGTGTTTGTTTCTAACCCTGTGTGGTTGTGTGAACATGTTTGAGGTTCCTGTCATGTTTGGTGTTTTGATTGTTTCCATCCTCACCAGCTTGTTTTCAATCCGTGCATTTCTCCGACCTTTTGTAGACGATTTAAAGACGACTGATTAATAATTCAGAGTTTGTGGAGGCGACATTCGATCAAAGAAGTCGTAAAAAAGGATCACTAAAAGTAATGAGTGTGAGTGAATGTCTTTAAAATGCTGAACCAGTGAACCTCCAGCTGGTGTGAACATTCAAACACATGGATCCAAGAACCATTTAACCCTTTATTGGCTACGAGCACAAGGTGGATGGATGGACGGATGATCACTGTTCAATAAATAAAGAGAAATCATTACGCTGCCACATGAACTTCAGGATAAATGGTAAATGGACTTGAGCTTGTATATTTCTTTTCTAGTCTTCTGACGACTCAAAGGGCTTTTACAACACGTGTCACACCTACACATTCACACACTGATGGTAGAGGCTGCTGAGTAAAGAGTCCATCACAAGTAAGTGATCACATTCACACACCAGGTCCTTACACACTTATGTTCATACATTTGAAAAGAAACCTTAAAAGATTCAACAGAGAAGTGAAACTGTCGTCTAGAAAGCGTCTCTCTGCAGCTCTCTCACCTTTCCTACGATGCTGCCCACGGTGATGATGGATCCTTTGGGTGCTCCACAGGCCACCAGAGCCTGAGCCACAGCCTGAGTGATCAAGAAGGAGCCCTGGAAGAGACGCAGGAGCAGGAGTGAGTTCATCTCTTCACAGTAAATCAGCACCAGAGAAAAGAGTGTTTGAAATAATAACAAAAATCATTCAGCTCTGTGGACAAAACACAACAATCCTAAACGTTCTTCAGCCTCAATAAAGACATTTTCACTCATGCACTACTGAAAGTCTTCATTATTTTCAGGCAGTCAGAGGTGGTGGACAGAGCAACAGAGTCCAACTCTATGATGACAGTTTTTTTGTACATACTGGAGGACAGAAAACTTAAGGCAGCGGTTTAATAACGTGCACAGAGATCACACATATCGCGGTCATACAGTCTCTGGTTGTGCACGGGTCCTGAGGTAGAAACGTTACCACCCCCTCTTGCTCCCTCACAGTGAATTTACCTGAATACTTCCTGCTGCGTTCTCACATCAGCTAACCCGACTTCATGCAGAAAAATGATCAGGGGGCTGCCGGCTAAAGAATTCCAGATAAAGTCGGAGTAGAAATGTGTCTGTTTGCGTTCACTCGTGCAGTTTTTTAGAAGTTTTGTGAGAGAATCATTTTATGAATTCTTTTCTTCAAGTGCAACAACGAGAAACTTGAATCTTCGGTTGTTTCCTGTTGAAGACAACAGAGACTGATTTCTTTCTTTCTGATTCTTCTCACAAAGTCGACCCACGTTATGTCTCAACAGCAGTGATGGAAGAAGAGTGCTTTAAGAAGTGCTGCAATTTGAGCACAAATGAACCGGCATCGAGGGCCAACATCTAAAAATATGAATCATTTGTAACTTGTAATTCTGGTGCCGACTAGTGAGGGTGATGACTTCCAACCTTTAAGTGGACTAACGGGCACATCCCTAGTTATTAGATTGTGATGTCATCCTCTGACGTTAACCTGATAGACTCGATTACACGCTGAACTTGCTTCATACCTTCAGGTTGACCTGGATGACTCTGTCAAAGTGATCCTCCTCCATGTTGAGCAGGAAGTGGTCCTGCGTGATGCCTGCTGCGTTCACACACACTGAGGGAGGCTGGAAGTAATGAGTGTGTAGAGGAACAGAACAATAACTTACAAGGAGAGAAAAACAACACGTGGAATAGCCCCTCCAGCATGAAAACACACAGAGAGAAAAGTACCTTTTTCTACAGAAAGGTTGCTGATTATGATGGAAATGTAAACACATGTTGTGTTGGCTTGTCTTCCTGTCTGTATCACACCTGTATTCTGGTGACCAGCTTCTTCACGCTCTCTTTTGATGACACATCCACCACAGCCGCCATGTGACCCTGTCCTCTGAGGTCATTCTGCAGACCCACCATGGTCTCGTTGGCAGACTCCTCGCTGATGTCTGCCACCACCACGGAGGCGCCCTCAGAGGCCAAACGCTGACATACCGCCCGTCCGATCCCACTGCCTCCTCCTGGGAGGGAAAAGAGTAGCATGAAGTTACCAGAGTGACAGAATGTTTTAAACACAACGCTGCAGAGGAAAGACTGAGTGTGACAGAAGATCCACTCTGGAAGTATCTGAAAAAACAAATATCAATCAAGGACGACAAGAAAACACACAGGACAGGAAGCTGACTTGATGTGATTGATTTTCAGTTTGATTAGCCCAACAGTTCAGGGCTACATGACCAATTGTTATTCACAAATCATCTGCGCCCAATCACATTTCTTTCTTTCTTCTGTCTTCAAAAACCTTGAGTCCACTTTTCTATGTGAAAATGTAAGAGGACAAGTGATGCTTCATCATTCATAATACAGCTTTAATGTTTATTCCATCAGTCAAAGAAGACAATTAATAAGCCACAATTCTCATAATACATGTATCCTTTCAGTCACTCACTGTATCCACACTGTATTGCATTTTTTACAGTTTTGAACCTTAAGTCGGACAAAACCAGACATTTAAAGATTTAAACTCTGAGGCATTTAAACATGTTTCCTTTTTCAGTATTTTCACAATTCAACGGCAGATCATTTCATTCTGAAATGGTTGCAGGTCTTATTGATAGCATACACACAGCCAGAATGACAGCTACACTTTCACCTTCACTCTCATTTCAAGTCATCAAACTTAATTCAGTCCGATCTGCTCGAGGTACTGATTTAGAAATCACTGATAGAATCACGGTTACACTAAAATAATGAATTCATTGTCAGCTTACTTTGGAGATCAAACTTTTTGATATCAGAAGCTACTTGCAGTAGGTAGCTGCTTTGATTTGGTGAATTGAAGAAGATTGCAGAAAAACACACGGCTTTGAACGCAACATCTTGAAAAGGGAAAAGGGCATGTCCTTAAACGTCTCACTTCACACAACACCATGTATCTTACAACATATATTTACCAGTGACCAGCGTCAACCTTGATATCAGCCGTGTGGCAGCCGTCATACTCCCATCATGTTTCCCCCCTTATGTTGTTGTAGCTTTCGGGTTGTCCACTAGATGGCGCCCAGTGATGAAAAATGTTACGTGTTCCGGTTCCGGTTGATGACGAGCCCAGCAGAGTTTAACTAAAAGCTAAGGAGGCGAGGAGGGAATCATCTATTACAATGCTTTGTCATTTTATTCATCAAACTGACCATAGATTACAGTCACAGTATGAACAGGATGGAATATCCCTCCGTTTTAATACAAGGTTTATTTTGAAAGGGTTTAACGGAAGTATCTCTTCGCTACGTGTATCTAACTTGACTCTGCGGGTGTAGTTCTTCATTGAGGCCACTAGATGGCGCACGATACTGAATACGCCAATGTAGAACAAGAAACACATTTAAAAACAGCTACACGGACAGAATACATGATGTTGATTCAAATGAACATTAAATACATTTTTATCTTGGACAACAGATATTTTATAACTTAATTGGCCATAGATTAAAGCGTTGTGTTGTTCACTCCGTCAAACATTACCTTCATAAAGTGCAGCTAGCGTTAACAAGAGGGAGCTGTAAGGCGATGTGATAATGTTCCTTTACAAACTTTCACTGTTTGATAGAAGAAAAAGATTAAAGTCTTTTGTTATAATTCGGTAAAGTTAATTAATCAGCATGAACAACGGCTTCCTAGTTTTGGTGAATTGTTCAGGAGGACACAAACTTTCCTGTGAGCTTTGCATAGATGTTTAGAATTAGCGGCAGAAACTTTGTTGATCAAGAGGGAGATAAAATGCCTCAACCTCCATTAATTTGAGGTAAAAGTATGAAATGATGTATTCCTCTTCCTCGATAGTCTTGTTCTTGTTTCTAGCTTGAGGAGGTTATTCTTAACAGAGTTGATAAAAGTATAACCGTGAGTACACACTGCCCCCCTGTGGTCAAAGTGCAAAACTTTTATTTTGATAGTGATAGTCGGAAGTTGTTCTTTGTATAAACATCTACCTTGACAGATTGATGACGCAGTAAATCATTGTGTCATACATAGCGTAATTATAATATAAATAAAGCACATATGGCATTATCATTAACAAAGCAAACAGTGTTTGTACTTAAGCTGTGAGTATTTGGATTTATTTAACTATTGAGGACAATTATCCTTAAACAATCTTTAACAAGAGCTTTGAATTAACTGTAAAAGTTCTCTGTTTTTACTGTCTGTGATCATCAACACGTCATGTATGAAAGAATTGAGTTGACTGAGAGAGGGTCAAATATTTAATAATAATAATTTGGGGAAAGTATACATTGTATTTCTGGATCAGGGATAGTATAAGCTCATTTATTTATTACAATAAAAAATGTATCAGATAATCAGGCCTCTGTGAACATACGATCACACACTAAAAATATATGTATTTATTTTACATGTGATCACACAAGATTCAAAAATAATAATAATGTTATAATAATAATAATAACATCTATATATAGGACAATTTTTAAAATCAAGCTACAAAGTGTTTTACAAGGACAGCAATAATAAAACAAACGGAAAACAGTCTAGACATAAAATCATAAGTAAAGGCAAACAATTATAAATAACAAACATTTTACATAACATTCATTTAAAAGATCTTTAAAAGAAGCAAAAAATATACATTTTGAAGGAATTTTTAATGTAAACTAAAATGACGTGAGGAAGGGCTCGCTGTTTAAAATATGTCTTAGGAGGGGTTATAATGAAAAAGAGATTAACTGACTGATTATCTCACATGATCTCCTTCTCTCTACTTTCCCTATGATTTTATTTTAACAGCGATGACCGGAAGTAGTACAATGTAATTTATTTTGACTTGACAGTATTGATGCTGTAGTTACTCACTGTGACCACTAGAGGTCATAAATAATGTGCTTCTCATTTATTTACCGTTCAATCGTCGGCTACCCATGTTAGTGACTTCTCAAGTTAACTAAGGAAGCTTTGATGATTTCACATTAATTATGGGATACCTTCAGTTGTTTCTAAAGTCCTACGACATCCTTGTGTTTACATCGAATCACAATTTATCTACAAAGTTCCAGTAGGCCTACTTGTAGTTTTGCTAGCTAGAGAGCTAATTGTTGATGACATCTTGTCCGACACAGATTTGATTTGTTTGGATAAAAAAATACAATCAATGTTTTTAGTACGAGCAGAAAAGTGAAGATTGACTGGTTATGTTCCAACGAATGTGAACTTAAATAACTCGGATTGTTTTTTTGTTAACATAACGATCATAAGCGCATCTTAAAAATGTTTTATTTTGACGACAGGGACCGGAAGTAACACACTGTGATTTCATCTGACTTGATAGTAGTAATGTTGTAGTTACTGACTGTGACCACTAGAGGGCATAAACAACATGATTCTAATAGAAATACTGTACAACAAAGATGAATAAGGTGGATTGAAGTAACAAACTGTGGCATTGCTACATTAATATTTGATATCTTTAGTAGTTTAAAATTCAAAGGATATCTGTGGTTTACAAACAATGATGGATATAAATTATAGAAGCTTAGTCCAATACATCAGCAGGAGTAACTTGGGGTTAAGTGTCTTACCCAAGGACACATTGCACATGTGGCTGCAGGAGCTGGGGATTGAACCCTGACCTTCCTGTTGGGAGACAACGACTCTACCACTGAGCCACAGCCGCCCAAATAAAACAAAGTGCAGAAACTAACTTACATTACTGACGTCATCAAAGGATCAACGTCAGAGTCAGAAACAAGTCTGTATAAATCTAGAGATATACTACGTTTTTATTTTGTGTTTATACGTTTATTTAATTAATCGACCAAACAACACAATTAAATACCCCCCCCCCCCCCCGATATTAAATCTGTGTTTGTTAACTTCTTCCATCGTGACTCAAAGACGTTTCCTAAATTCCTTCTCCTAAGAGTTATTCTCTCCATATTATAATCTTCATTAATTGTTTCTTTCCATTTCATTATTTGTGGTGGACTTTTCAGACAGTTTTTAGTGTTCTGTTTAATTTCTGTTATTCTTACAGTCCTATACAGGTATTTATCTGAAGTGAGGGACAGTGCATGGGGGGGGGGACTTCCCATAAGTAGGTGTTGTGGACTAAAGGAAAGATTACATTTAAAGATCTGATTTATTTCCTGTTTACTGAGCAGTATTGAAATCTAGAGATATGTTAAGTTTCAAGGCCTCACATATCATCTATTGCTCACTTATTTTTCCTCACATTAGTTTGTAAGATACATCTCTAGGATGAGCTGGGATGCATCATTAGTGACGTTCCTGAGGTCATTTGGGGTTTCAGGTCTTTCAACATCAGACCCCCTCCCCCCAGGTGACCCATCCAGGGTTGATCAAGTCCAGCATTGCATCCCAGCAGCAGCAATCGACGGGCTCGCCCTCTTTATCCAAAGCCACCGAGTGGCCCTACTCTTCACAGTTCCTGTTACACCAAGACCTGCCAGAGCTTTGCAGATAGAGCGCCCAGCAACCCCCGACAGCCCACTTCAATCGGCTCACAAAGAGCCCGCCAGCCTCGCCCTCTCTACACTGCTCCACCAGCTCCCGGTATTTGGCCAGCTTCCTCTCGTAAGCCTCCTCCATGTGATCTTCCAGGGCACAGTCAGCTCCCAAATCATCTGATGGTGGAATCTGAGAAGATGGTCGAGTCTGTACGGAGTCAT